AATCAATGATTCTCTCTCTGAAATCAGTCAAATAAAATATATAAATAAATATATCACACAAAAGAACTGGTTTCAGATACAGAAGGTACAAATATGTTCAGAGAGACCTTTGCCCAACATTCAAGTGAAGGCCAAGGCTTAATGGATGTAGACCAGGGGTCCTCAAACTTTTTAAACAGGGGGCCAGTTCACTGTCCCTCAGACCGTTGGAGGGCCGGACTATAGTTTAGAAAAAAACTATGAACAAATTCCTATGCACACTGCACATATCATATTTTGAAGTAAAAAAGCAAAACAGGAACAAATACAATATTTGTATTTGCATGTGGCCCACAGGCGTAGTTTGAGGACCCCTGATGTAGACAGTTACCTCCAATGCTTTCTTGGGTGATGCTGACATTACTGCAAAGATCTTATAAGCTTCTCTTTGGGGGCTGCTGTTTTCCCAGTCTGTTATTAAAGCAATTGGACTTGGGAATCTAGTCACTCTCCATCAAGTGACCAAATCTTATTGATTCAGAAACTCCCTCCTCCCCTCCCCCCCAAAAAAGGGGGGTAAAAAAGACTATTGATGAGGAAAATTAACCTACAGAGTATTTATTTATGGTATTACTACCTCTTTGATGACATGATAAGGGCTAGTTAGTAGAGACTTTTTAAATGAGAGCAGGGTAAAAGAGGGAATTTCAGGAGAGGGCTATTTCTCAGAAAGTAGTTCCAGGGAGTGTGCTTAAAAATCATCGCAATGTAGCAATGCAAATTGGGACATACTGAATCACAAATTAGGGGATGCTCGAGCAATATTCTGGATGGAAGTTTAATGTGGAGGGTGTGTGTGAAGGGGAAGAAAGAGAGATTAATTTAATTCCATTTGCTGATGTGACTGGAGCACAACTATTTTTAGGTATAATCCAAACAGTGCATATCTTCTCCATTTTGATTAGTAGCAAATTGGCAGGGAGTCAAAAGAATTAGTATTTCTCAGCACATTATGCCAGAAACGTACAAATAAAACTAAATGATCTGTGCCAATGTGTTTAATTTGAATTTCTGCTAAGGTTTTTATTTATTTTTCCCTTCCAAAAAACGAATGGGCTCAGCTTTGTTAAAAAAAATATATTAAGCCTTTCTCAAATGGCAGCAAAAGTGAATAGAATACTTTTCCTTTAGACCCTCGGTTAGAAGCTCTTGCTAAAAAAAACTGAAATGTTAATATCATCCTGAGACTTTGGGTGCAGAATTTCCGCCTGGCAATATTACATGTTGCCAGAGGAAGTCGGCACATTCAACAAAATGCAAAATTAAAATAAGCTAGGAAAATGTGCTTGACAGGGAAAGCTTTCACAATAGCCACTTAGAAGTTATTAATAATTCCAGTTCCAAAGAAAGCTTGAACTGAAAAAATAAACTCTATTTGCAAAGTTCTATGCAGGCAAGTTCACCAAGGGATGAAGCTGTCTGTGTTACCAATTATACATTTCTACCTTGGATGGAGAATTTATAGATGCCGGACTCACCTTGTTACATATTAGAGAGCTTTATAGGGTGCAAAGGAAACATTTCCAAGGCAGCCATTCAATGAACCTTGATCATGTTGAAGTTCACTGTTTTAATTTTAGTGTTAATACCTTCGTCACTTTGTTACACACAAACCCATGGGCTAAGGTGGATTTTCTGCCTATTCATTGCCCTCCACCTGTCACTTCTGCTGCGCATTATTTCACCAGATTAAATAGGATTGGCACTTTCTTCCTCCCACTGCTTTAGCTATTGGGACGGGCAGCCCAGCTCCCCACGTTCCTACTATAAACCAACGTCTGTCTTCTTAAATACAGCAAAAAGTAGTTTTCCTGGGTGGCTGGAAATCACTGGCACAGTATGTTTTTGAATCCTCTCAATTCCTTAGTGAGAGAACTCGGGAATCACACAAAAATCTTTTTCTATTTTCTACAAATAACTGTAAACTGGTCCCCAGGTTATCGTGGTTTCTTGTCATTTACGAAAGAGCTCAGAGCTGTCTACTAGATAAAGTTATATATATTTGTTTGTTGTTTAAAGTTTAAGGGGCTTTTCATCATTTTAAGACCTGAGGTCTGATGTATGTTTTGGGCTGGGAAAACGTCTTTTTATTTCAATGTAAGGACAATCTATGCAAAGTAAGTAGATAATAAGGAAATGGAGAAAGTGAAGCATTAACCTGGTACTTCAGTATTCTTCAGATGAAACTCTAGACATTTAATCTATTAATTGTGCGGTATAGTTTAAAATAAAGAGCAACAAAACCCCTAACAAAAGGCATCTTACATACTCGTGGTGGGGGAAGGGAGGGTAGATATGACCGCATTTAGTACCTGGGGGGAAAGAGTGAGATTTCATCCTGAAATTGATTCTGCATCCTCCAAAATAAGTTTCTTTAAGTATTTAACTTTGTCTTCTTAAAGAAGTTTTGCCCTTCTCCCCCCCCCCCTTTTTTTTTTTTGCTGGAGGAAGGAGTTAAACATATAGCAGCTTGTATTGAAATGGCTACTGTCCATGCAGCCTTCTGCTGCTCTCTAATCACCCGCATCACAGACCTTTCTCAGAAGGCTGTCTCCTGGTCTTTAGACTATCCCCCTGCAGAAAGGGACAATCAGAATCCACTTTCCTTAGCGGAGAACAGTTAAAGCTCAGGACGAGCCCCAAAGTTCTACTCTTCACTTTGCTTTCTTTACTGCACGATCCTGAAATGAAGCGCCGGTTTAAAAAATACAAAGCATACACCCTCAAACCAACTTATTCTGGAGAATGTCGCATTCATCCCAGGGTACAGATTTCACTCTACTTTCCTTAGGAACTAATTTCATGAAAACCATCCCCTCCATTGGCTGTCATCATTTTGCTAGGAAGTTTTAAAACTTCCCATTTGCTTCTACCTGGGACTGGCCCACCCAGAACTCGTGGTCTCTTTAATCACACGAGAGAGAACAATATTTACTTCAAAGCTCTTGTATACATTTTTGCTTGACCACCAGAACATGTTTCATTCTAAACAGCCACTGGAGAAATGTGCACACACCGACCATCTGCGGGCTGTGGGATTTTCTCATGGGAAACAAGAAGTCATGGAGGCCACTTACCGGATTCCAAGCAGGCAGCTTGTTCAATGAGTTAGTCTTCTTTCCTGCCGTTCGGTGCCAAGTTGCAGCAGAGTTACCTGGCTCCATCACTTTAGAAGACACACAATCCCAAATGTTACTTCTTGAGTCAGGTGCAGCCATGGGCTCTTGAAAATACTACAAGTAGTCTAGCGTACCTTCAAGCGGCTGTGGAAATTGAGGGCGAGTCTGCAGTCTCGGTAGGTGCGTGCCTTATTTGGTTTAGAGGCATTTTGCTATGTTACCGAGTCATGAAAAGCTATTAAAAGAGCTCCCTGGAAAAACCTATATTTTGCACAAAACAGACTGTCTTTTCCCTGGTCACGGACCCCTCACAGACACACGGCACATAACCATCATTGTGCTTCATTGGTATTTATTGCACATGGACCAATTCCTCACACAGTAGTTAGTTGCACCAGCGTATAAATACTTGGTAAAACACACAGAGGAAATAGAGTTTATACAGAAAGTGCTCAATTTTACCAGCAGATTCACGTGGGCACTTGGACATAAAAAAATAATAGAAAAATCCCCAAGATATTTATATTTATAATATGGATACAGTTACAGTACCATGATAAAAGAGTATAAAAAGGTATTTTTCCAATATATCATTAGCTCAATAAAATCATAGCCAACAGAAGTAGAGCTTGAATTTTAGTTTAGTTTTTAAGATCTGCCCTCCCTCCCCGTTAAAAAATATTTAATTTCTTCTTGTGCAAGTAACGCCTCTGTGGACTTTACAATTTCTAGCACTGTGCAAAAATGGCATTTTGAACCACTCCTTTTTTTTTGTTTTTTGTTTTTGTTTGTTTTTACCCACATGTGCAGTAATCTGAATTGTTTCCTCTTTTTTTTTTTTTTTTTTTTTTTTTTTTTTGATTTTTTACAGAGAGTTTTCTGTTCTGTCTTCAATGGACAGAGTCACATGTCATAGAGGCTCAGTGCCTGGTCCTTCCAACTAATATTGATACATAAATAAGCTGTTTAATATAAACAAGTCTTTCTAGCTTGCTGTGCAATGTGCACAGTGTGAGGTAGAAACCCCGCAGCCGGGCCACCTAGGGCGTGGGGACAGCAGGCTTGCCCTACACAAGGAAAGCAAGGTGAGGCGTGTTCCAAGAATAGCTTACAATTTTTTATGTCTTTTTTTTTTGAAACGCACTTTTTGCACCCACCCTTTCCCTTTGCTTTCAGAGCAGGAGAAACCATTCCTCGGGAATTACACTGAAATTTCTCTGGAAAGCAAATGGAAAGACGGCTAGACAGACTGCCATTCCCCCTCTCCCACCCCACCCCCTCCCCCGTTGACTGCTCCCGTCCCGGGAAGGGGGATGGAAGCCACGTTGATAAACAGGTTATACCCTCACGCTTCTTCCTTCCCTGCCCGGCCCCTGCAGCAAGTGTCACCTGGGGAAAAACTATCTAAAGAGGCATCGCGCGCGCGCGTACAAACAGGGGAAAGAACCCGAGAGCCCTGAGCAAGCCGCTGTCCCACCTCTCCCCAAACTTCCCTTTCTGGCAACGGTCCGTGACGTTCCTGTTTGTTTTGGATGATTCAGGCGAGGTTTGTGGGCTTCGAGTTCACCTGCTGCAGGTCTTGAGTAAACACACATCTCTTTCCCCTGGGAAGCCATTCAGGGGCGCCCGGACCGTCTCCGTCCCGGCG